GGACTCACGTCCAGTGGAGCCCCACTCGTCTCTGCAGTGGACACCATCTCAGAGGACCTGGCCCCCAGGAGCTCGCTGATGGCTGTGCCTGGGCCTCCTACCCCGAGATGACACCCAGGATATGACTCAATGCACCCCAGGGGGGGAAGCCTCCACCACGGGCTCCACATGATAGAATGCACCCCCTGTTCTCTCCATCCCTCACCTGCTTCCAGGCCGGACCCTCCAGGCAGGGCAGAGCCTGGACTGAGCCTGCTCTGTGTGCTGTTACGGGATGGGCCACTGTAACCCTACTGAGGTGGACATCGCTGGCCAGGCCCTGTCCCGGATGGACCCAACCTGCTCCCCAGGCTGTGAGGGCCCCCCATGGCCGGTAATTGAGTCAAGGAGAGGCAGGGAAGCCTCTGCCGTGGGCATTAAATGGTCAGCCCAGGGCCTGGCTTCAGCTCATTGTCCAGGCCTGTGCCTCACAGACAGCTGTGGAGAACAGTCACCCCCAGACTCGACTCAGGACTAGGTGAGACCCGGCCCCTACCTCCCACTTCCCTTTGATTTCCAGGTCAGGGAACTAGGAAAGGGACCTTCTGTCTTGTTTCTCCTTTGTAATGTTACTCTTTTCCAAGCCTTATGTTTTATTCACCGAGAAAGAATGAACCCCACAACTCTATGACCCCCCACAACACTAACAAACAGAACCTCAGGGGGCCCCTCTATTACCCTGCCAACTCCATTGTGTGCCCACAGGCCTGCCCTGACCCCAGGCCCGGTGAGGAGAAATTTTATGTGTTTCTAGTTTCCTGAATATTGTTGATAGTGATGACTTAAAAACCTCACATATAGCTCAAGTCCATTTCCCACTGTATTGCCCTAACAACTGAGAAACAGAACAAAGAAATACTGCAAGGATGGCTGGACCTATTAACAATTGGAGCAGATATCTCCTCAAAGACAAACCACATCTTGAGAAGCTGGGGAGCAGGAAGGTTGGGGACTGCAGGAAGGATGTCACCTGCTG